TCCAATTCAAGTCTGAATAAAAGCAAATTTTGAAAAGAAAAAAAAAACCATTACTCCAAGTCATAAAACACAAATGCAATAGTTAAACTACCTAAATAGAAAAGACTAGTACAAATTGGGGAGTTAGGGTTTCTAAGAAATTTGGAAATTTCGCTCTTCTTAATTGTGAAGAACAAGTGAAAACATTATTCAAACAGACGAATAAAACTTTTCAACAACCTAAACATTTAAAAATGTCCATTTAACTTCAATGAGTTCTGTTTAAAATAAAATTTAACTGAAAATGATCATTAAAATTCAATTAAATAAATGAACTGTTAGGAAATCAAAAAAAAAAACACAACATCGTTCTAGTTATTTGGTTTTTTCGTTAGGATTAAATGAATTTTTATAATTTGCATATGTTATGATTAAACCATTTTTATCTGTCGTGCCAACTGCCAAGCTATATAGGGTCTTAGACTAAATACATTTTTTTTTTTTATGTTTTCAAGTTTTCTGGCAATCATTTTTAGATATTTATTTATTTCTATGAATAAAATAGTAGAAACAAAATATGAGCACAAATATTTTATCAAAATTGACAAAACTTTGTAAATTTGCTTACAATAACCCTTTTATACAAACCCATAAATAGTAAACTATGAGCAAAAATATGATATACAAAATTAAATAAAAATATATCATTAAATTATGCTATTCACAGTATTAATTTTACGTATCTCATTTAACATGATTTTTCCGAAATAAAGAATTATTAATATTTGGTAAATATATATAAAGTCCTTTTATTTTGTCTCTTTAGTTAGTAAACCGGCAAAAAAAAAAAATATCCCGTAAGTTAGTTTTTTACGATTAGACCTACCGGCAACTTTGGCGATTCCAAGGACAAGGCAGACGGATGAGTAAATGAGGGACATGACGGCCGCGATGATAGAAAGCCAAGGGAGCTTATCGAAATTTGAGATCTGAGAGATGAATATATGCACTACTCCAAAGGCTATCACGTATGGATTGATGTTCTTCATGTCACTTTTGTTTTTTGTCCCTCCAATGCTGTGAAACCAAATGGATCTCTGTATTGCCCTGTTTTACTTGTCAAGATTTTGATAAGAAACAAGTACAACTTTTGAAGCTTATGGTGAAATAATCGTGCTCAAAGAGAGAAGAGAGAAAAAAACTCACCTCATGCTTATGGCCGAGGAAATAGTGTATCCAATAGCAACACCAAAGAGATTAAGATATTGAACAATCTCACATAGCTTAGCCCGCACGCCACCTGCCAACACCATTTAAACCATTATTAGTCAAAGCCATTATTATCGTTAATTATGAGCATGTACGTAGTAGTATACATACGTACCGAGATTGTTTTTGACGGCGTCAATGTAAGAGTAGTTCCTGTTGCCGGAGACGGGATCTCCAGATCGGTAACATGCGGCAAGGAACGTAGACGTGAAATAAGTTACAGAGGAGAACAACAACATAACCACCGGTCCGGCTATCCAACCAAGCTGAGCCATCGCCCATGCCAGCGACAGAACTCCAGAACCTATCACAGCTGTTATTATATGCGCACTCGCCGTCCACATAGTTCCTTATATAAGAACCAAAACAAGAACAAAAAACACTTGAAAACTGTCCTTCATCACTCAACATAGTTGGATATTCAAAAAAAAAAAAAGAACATAGTTGGATATAATCATTTTTACCTGTTCGTTTGGGATGGCCATCATCGTCGAAGGAATTGGATTTGTAGCCGCCGGCTGGTGGTGGAGAGAAAGTTGGTTGCTGGGTTCCGACCATTTGTTTTTCGAAACGCTCCGTTTTGTTTCCAGGAAGAACAGGCAATGAACTCATGATGTGAGAGACAAATGAACTCATGATGTGAGTAATATATAGCATGAACATGTCCATGGCAAGGTTTGCAAGGTTTTAATAGAAGTTCTTATAATTAAAATAATAATTAAAAAACAAAAAGTGGAGAGAGAACTAGAAAAAGTGAAATTATGTTTGCAAGGTTTTGTCGAAACGCTCTGGTTTGTTTCCAGGAAGAACAGACAATGAAATTATAAACTTAAGAGTAATAAATAGAGTCAGTTATGTACTCATGTGATCTGCATATAAACTTTTTGTTTTTTTTCCCTACATTATGTACCCTTTCACACTGGAAATTGTCAATGTTCTTTTGCTTTTTAAATCTTGATTCCGGACCCACAAAGCGATATTCACAGAAAGCGATATTCCGGACCCGGAATTTGTAAGGTGAGATCTCCACTAAAGTTCCCAAAGTTTCATATATAGACATATTGTAAATAGATGTGTGTAGTAGATATTTTCACCGGTTCCTAAATCCTAAGACCATTTTACAAACTATAAATTTTGAATAGATGAACCATATTTTTCTTTTAAAATGGGAGGCTTGCTTTAATAATCAAAAAAAATTATGTAATTTGAAAACTAAATTTTTAACTTTAAAAAGACAATAATTCTTTCATGAAATTATAGAATCTATAATTATTAAAATATATTTTGAAACAGATTGGAAAAGTTGTTGACCACTGCTACTCTAAATGACTCTTAAACTAGGAATAATTATATCGTTCTTGTCGTTGCTTGAGGTAGTTGTAAAGATTAAAAGATATTAGAAATTGAAAATCGATTTTTAATCGAGCCTTAATCGAGCATGTAAAAATATATTATCAAGTTGAGGTATTAATGTAAAAGTTCTTACATCAATAAGCATTACATCAATTGCCTCTAGAAGAAGGTCCAATGCATTTGCCGGAATCATCGATGACTCATGCTCTTATGGTTGTGCATGAGATCCACTATCACTTTAACTATATGTTGGTTAATGTTTCATATTTTATGACATTTTTCATTATTTTTGCGGATCCAAGGCTACAACTTTCGCTCTCTCTCTCTCAGCATGTAAATAACACAAGACCATTTTTTAATACTAGAACGTAAAAGTAAATCATTCAATCAATTATTATTGTGAAAAATATAGGAATGTTGGTAGGCCGAAAAAAGTGTTAGCTTAATTTTTCAATAATCAACTATTGATGAGAGATTGAATCAAATGAACCAAACATTATATAATTTGAACACAAACCATAATTTTTTTGGAGTTCATCATTCTTAATCTTTACACATATGTAATTTTTTATTTTATGTGTAATCTATATTTTTCTCTTGTAATTGATCGCGTGAAATGATATCCTTTTTAATTTTGTAAATTGTTTTATAATAGAAGTAATTAGATTTAAAAAACACTTTATATATTTGATTTGTTTAGAATATTTTGATAATCTCAATTGCAAAAGAAAAAGTTAGTTTTCAAATTTTTGAAAACAAAGGTTAATTTTTAAAATACACAAAAATTTCGTAAATTTTGTTACACATTTCGTATAAAAGGTAGTTAAATATCTTTACACA